CCAAATCAATTTTTTGTAGCATTTTGTAAGAATCATATTTATAATTAAATAAAAACACATTGAATTAATATTAAAAATCAGCAAAGATTCTCCGCATCTGCTGAATCTTTTTCCTTGCTTGATATATATAATTCCAGTGCTGCAACTAACATCATATAGTTCAATAAAGAGTTTGACTCTTGTCTTTAGTCGGATAAAATCTTTTTAGTTTCTTTTGATTATTTGAGCCAATGTCATGATACGAAACTTCTTTACTAAGAAACAAAATATATATCTATACCTATATCTGGAAGATTTTCCAATGTAGGTGTAGGTATATGTTGTGTCTAGTGTTGTTAATTGACTAACGACTAATAGCCAACTATTAGCTAGTCGATATAAGCCACTAAATTAGTCGATTAGTCGACTAAGACTAAAAAAATAATTACTTTTATTTTATTTATTCTATATAATTTCAAAAAATATACAAAATATAAGATCTGGTGCCAACCAAACACTAAAAATAAACAAATTCAAAATTAAAATAAATAAAAAGAAATATAATAGACATAAAATTATAAGTAAATCCATGAAATTATTCGATAATCGACTAATTTAGTCGCTAAAGTTTTTAGTCTTAGTAAATTAAAATAAAAATAATTTTAAAAAATTTTCTTCATTTTTCATGAAAATAATTTAAAATGCTCAAAATTTTAAATTATAATTATTGCTCAAATACTAGAAACTTTATCAAAATTATTTTTTTAAATATTTTTTTTTACATTTTTATAAAACTTATTTTATATTTTGCATATTTTTACATAGTATATATTTTGGCCAAATAAGAAAAAATCAGGGACCCAAACCTTTATTTATAACGCTCAGTTTGTTTAAGGTTTTCAGTATAAAAATTCATAATGGTTATAATTTCATAGATTAGTTTCGATTCTACTAATTGTATAGGTTTATAAAAATTCATTTGCGGTTTTAAAAAATATTCAAATTATTTTTATTGAAGTAACACCATCATATATAATTTTAATTTGATTATTTTAAAATTTTAGCCAGATGATTAACTTAGTTCACAACTCGATTGAAGTAGTTCATAATTATTTTTATTTTAAAAATATATGTGTATGAAAAGAGGTGGTATAAACCAGGGATGTGAACCCTTCTTCTAAAAAGATGGGCTCAGGTTCGGTGAAAAATCTCTGAACCCTGTTCGGGTTCATGGTTCGGAGATCAGAAAAATAATGACTTATTAAAATTAGTTAAAAAACAGAAATATATACTCATCAAATTGTTTCGAGTTCTTCATCTTAATATGTCTCTCTAAATTGCTATTTTGATTCCCTGCTAATACTACATCACATATTCTACATCAGAATCTCCCTTATCATTAAATTTGAAATATTTAACTAATAAAACTTGGCTTTCCTATAAATTTAATTTTTTAACAAATTATTTAAATTTAAATCCAACTATCTATAAACTAAATTTTTAATTACAAAATAGATAGCAAATTTTGCCTTTGATATCATATATCCTAGGAAATATTATTTATTAAATTTACTCTATAAATAGACACCATTTTAAAACATTTTTTTATTGCACTTATTTAATTTAATCCAAATTTAATATTTGATTTTTTAACAAACTAATTATTTAAATAAAACTATCTAAACTAAATTTGCAATTACAGAATAGCTAACAAATGTTGCCTTATTTTACATATTCTAATCACTATCAATCTAATAATCCACAAACAACAATATCCTATAATAGATATTATTATATATATTGTCATCATTTATAAAAAACTTTTAAAATCTGCTTTGCAGGACAAAATTTAAAATTTTTTATGAAAATGGCCGACTCTTAAATATAAAAAAATGATTCCAAGAAATTGTGATCAAAAAATGTTTTTTTAATTAATATTTTTTTTTGAATAAAAAACAATTGTTTTAAATAGGAAATCTTTTATAAAAATCGTATACATGTTTTTTATATTATATTATTTTACATAAAATTTAAAATAAAAGTTTAAAATAAAAAAAATAAATTTTTTAAAAATTAAAAAAAAAATTTTTTTTTTTAAATATCTTGGAACCTGAACCCTAAATTTTAAAAAAGGGTTTGAGTTAAGCGAAATATCGAGGGTTTGGGTTCTCATCCCTGGTATAAACAAAAAAATAAAAAATAAATAAACAATCAGAAAAAGAACCAATGATGCAACATCTTTATTTTTGTGTTATTTTTTTAATAATAATAAAGGATTGGTTGTTTTATTATTAATTTTTTATGTTATTCATTTGTAATGCAGCATAATTATAACTATAAAAATACTGTGAAAAACTGGCAAATTAGTGAAGCAAAAATTTCCTAGATTTTGAATTACCTGACTCTGATTTATAATTATTATATTTGATTAATTAAATAAAAAATAAATAAATAAATAATAGAACCTATCGTTGACCATATATTTTATTTACTTTTTATGCAAAAGAAATAAATACTGTTGGCAACAAAGAAAAAGTTTGTATATTTTCACATATTGACGATCATTATAAAATTTGTAATCTAAATTAATGAAAAATTATTATATTCTATATTTGATTAAATTAACATTCTTTTTAATAAAATTGAAAAAAAAATAATCCAGAGGATACCCATTTTTTAGACGCGATTTAAATGTAAATAAAAAACAAATTGATTTTTTAAAGACTAAATGGTGTGTGAACTCCGGATTTTTTTTTAAAATAATATATAGTATAAAAAAATTAATTCTTATAACATTTTGACAGGTAAATTCTCTCTTTATTTCAATAGTTGCTGATATAATCCCAAAAAATTTTTTGAAAAAATGTTCTGTCTGGAAATGGCAGAAACATAAAAGATAAAATTAAATAGGATAATAAAAATAGTTAGTTTACTATGTATTATTTAGAATAAGTTTTAGAAAAATTAAATCTAAAAATAAATGATTTCTTTTTAATATTGTTTGTCAAAAATTTTATAAAAATCTAGGATAAGATTTTTCTTTATGAGAATGTAAATCACCAGAAAAAGAGGACTATAGGTTTAATTTAAATAAATTTATTATATATAATTTTGCATTTTAATCAATCATAAATTTAATGATTACAACAGACATTGGCAAAAAAGGGAATTTTTCATGTTTTGTTCTTAAATATCTTCAAAAGTATAAAAGCTAGGATAGAAAAATTTTGCCTAAATATAGAATACATAAACCTGTCTGTATACTAATTTTTATAAACTTTGAGACTTCAAAAATTCAATTTTCTAATATGAATTGCCCTTATATTTTTTATAAGTCATAAATTGGTCCGGCAAGGTAAAGTCTAATGACCCTAAACTTTTTTTATATGAAACTTGGTGTGTTGATTATATGCTGTATAATTTTTATAAATTAATATTCTATATTTTAAATGGATCCTAGGTAAGGGATCTCAAAATTTAAAACAGATGCGATCTTGATTTTAATAGTCTTAAATAAATTGAAAAATATTTAGTCTAAGTGCACAAATTATACATCATTTTGTAGTGCAAAACTATGAAAATATAATAATATATTTTAAAAAAATATTTAATATCGATATATTTCATGTAATACAAAAATGAATTATTATACCCACTATATATGTTTATTGCCAATATATTAAATTTTAGTAAGAATTAGAAATATGTGCACATCTATATCTTGATTCCATTTATACAAACTTGGCAAGTAAATAATGAATGTAATGATATATAATTCATTTCCCTCCAATTTTTAATCCTTATTGCAAAAGAAGAAAAATAACAATGGACAAAAAACAAGATCGATATATTGAGAAGAAAATAAAAGCCATGTGTCCCACAGATACAAAGATTTCAGTTAAAAAATGTTCTATCACAAACAGGATTGGACAAACAGATATTTTAATTTTCGCATGATTTTATATACAAAAAAAGATTGGAAAATTTTGGGTTAACTTAACTGTTTTACTCTTTTATATTAATCATAAAATAATGGGCTATAATAGACAGCTGTATAAAAAATAATTATTGAAATTTCATTAAATTATGTAAAACAACCCTTTTTTATCACACTTCAATATTGTAAACACCTATGATAATTCTCTGTAGTTAATTATGTGTATACCTGATATATTTTAAAGCTACAAATATATTTGATTTGAGTGATATTGTTAAAAATAATTATCATTTATATTATATATTTTATATCCAGGCTTAGCTGGGCTTAAAAATAAATTTTTAGGAATGGGCTTAGAATGTTTATTTCTGTTAGTGTTAAATTGGCTCATTTTGAGCTGATTTTTTAAAAAGGCTAACTCAATATTTTCACCAGAAAAATATTGCCTAAGCCTCCAGATTTCGATAATATATGTCTAGAACTTTGTTCCTTCTATGAACAAAATCTTCAGGCTTGCATAATATTTTTCTGGATGAAATATTGAGTCAGCCATTTTAAAAAATCTGCTCAAAATGAGCCATTTAGCAACACGAATTTCTGCAGGTCTTTAACAAAATATTAAATTCTTATTTCCTCCATTCTTATTCTTGATTAAATATGTTGCCAAATATATTTGATGAGTTTTGTCCCAAAATGGCTAGCTCTAAACAAGTTATTTCATTTTATGAGAAATACATCCACACAAAAAAAATTTAAAACATTTGTTTTATTGTATTAAAGATAATTTTTAAGGCTATAAAAAATATATAATTTGTACTAAATATTTATCAAGTAATCTGGGATAATTATAATCGTGATCACATTTGTAATGAAATTTGAGAGCCCATAACTATCTATTAGAGCTAGAGCTTTTAACCTTTGATAAGATTTAAGTTAGTCTATATATTGTCATTGTTAATTTATTAGTCTTATAACATGATTTTTAATTGATGTTCCAAGATCAAAGGCTACTTGGTAATAAATTAGTAATTATACTTAGAATTAATTAAATAATTATCCTGCCATAATATGATTATTTAATTACAAGTGTACGATGAATGGGTGTTTATTTTCTAATAAGATATTTTTTTCATTTTTTATATGCTCAATTTGGTTTAGTCTGCAAACATCAAATATCTTTAAAATTTTCATTGCATAAAAATTTTCAGATGATTTTTCGGACACCAATAATACACGACCAAATGTTCCAGTACCTTTATTTAAATAATTAAAATAATATATAAATATATATATAATATTGTGTTATTTTTATTCGTCTAATAATTTAAAATGTACTATTTTTGAAAATTATTTGGGATTGAATGTTGTACCAGGGCCAATTCATTTTATGAGTAATAAAGTTATTTATATGTAAATTAGAATTGGTAAAAAATTAGGATAGAACAGGGAAATCCACTACAAAATAAAAAAAATCTTCTAATATTTTTGATCTCTAAAGATTTTTTGTTGATCAAATTTTACCTAAAATCTTAAATTATTATGTATAAAAAAAATTTCATGATAAAATTTTTAGACTTATGCAAGCTGAAAATTAAATTAAGGCAGTGTTTCAGAACAAGAAATTTAGAAAAAAATGGAATGTAATGAAATACTTGAATTTTTAATATATATGATAAAATATTTAAAGAATTTTTAAAATTATGCAAATTTATTCTAATTGGCTTCAATAACAGCAACAGCAGAACAGAATAAGAATTTCATCATTAAAATGAATCAAAATTTATTGTAGAAACTGGATGAGTCAAAATTAATTATTTAATCTATCATTAATTTCAATTTTAAAAAAATTTGAAACCCATAAATAACCTTTATAATTTAATATTTATCATTAATCTTATAACTAAATCCTTAATTTGGTTTGATTAATAAAAATATAAAAAAGTTTTTCAATTGCTTCTCTAATAGTAAATTTGACGCTTCATCATTGTTCTATTATTTACATTTTATGTAAATATAGCACTTAAAATTTGATCATTTTAGGTTTCTCTAATAAGCCAAATATATAAATAATTATTCTATTAAATTTATATTTATATAAAGGCTTTTTACCTATTGTTCTTAAGAATTCTAAATCTTTGGAATTTTCTGAGATCATCATGACATAAACTTTTTGATTACCATGCCTATGATCGTATGTACACTTCATCGTAAAATTTCGCCCAATTCTGTGATTGGTCCATTAAAGTGTGGAAAAAAACAATAGTTTATAAATATATTCATTTATAATCATAACTAGCTGATATACCGTCAAGAATAACGGGGAATCAGAATTTCTCCTTTATTTAATGGTGTATAAAAATTTTCCTATTTTATAAGGTGTTATTCAGAAATTTATATTTATTTTGATAAGGGATTATTCTAAAATTTTCCATAATTTTTATAAAACATGATAATGAACTATATATTTAGTAATTTTAATTTATAGCACTATCAAAAATCTTTTAAACCATAACAGCATTATTTTTTTTGTTATTTATGCCAAATTAATAATGGATTAATATTTCTTCCATTCACAATGGCTTCCTTTATTTCCTTATGTCCAACAATTTCTTGAATCCAACAATTATAATTTTTTTGCAATTGATTTAATTTAAATAAGGCATATCTGTGGGTTTGCCCATTCCTTTAAGTTTAAATAAAGTCAGATGCGAAATGACATAATTCACTTATCGAAATTAGAGACCTTTACGGGTCTTGATTTATTCAGCCCAGCCCAGGTCAGCAGTAAAAATAATTTTCCAGGCCCAAACCATATTTAATAAAAAATTCAAACCCAAGCCATAAGTTTCAAATTCCTAAGCCCATATTTAAAAATTTAATTTAATGTTTTTAAATGAAAATAAACAATATTTTAGTGTTAGGCAATCACTTTATTTGCAACACTAAAATATATTATTATTAGAAGAAAAAAAATGCAATATATTTTTAAGTTAGTCACAATTTAATAAGATAAATTTAAATGAAAAATTTTTAGGCTTTTTAAAAAACCTAGGCTTGGCCCTGGCACCTTAGAAAATATATTAATCCTGGTATCCCATGGGCCAAGCCACCCCATGAAGATGTATGATTGAAATGTTAAACCATTTTAAATCATCAAAATATCTTGTCATTTGAATTTTTTTGTCAAAAATAATTTTTTTTGATAGATTGATTATTAAAATTAATCTATTTACATCAAAAAGTCTTAATTTTAACTCATAAAATAAATCATAGCTAGTATTAGATTATTAGCTAGTATTAGATTATTCTATCTCACTATTTATTCTTATTGAAGTTTTATTATTTCATATACAAAAAATAAATCCATCCACCCTGATTCTTTAAAAAGCTTTCAAGTATTATGTTAATTGAATAAAGAGTTATTTTAACTGATTGCTTGGTTTTATATAAAGATCCTAATATTACTGGTCCAAAAAACAAAAAATTAACCACAATTATTATTTCACCAATAAAATATTATATTTAAATTTTTATAAATAAAATTTTAGTATGTTGTTTTGTTTACAATAGTAATTATTATTATTCTATTATATTTTTGGATAGGAGAAGTTTGGAGAATAGAATATTATTTCCTAAAATAATAAAAATAAATGTTGGTATTAATTCTATCTTCAGTTTTAGAATAATAATAAAAATGATTTTCTAAAAACAGAGGGACTATTAAATATACAAATCCATAAATTTAAAAATAAATGAGAAAGCATTTCTAATATTTAAAATACAGAGAATAGTGGAGATAGAAAAATATAATTCTCAGACACAGAAAGAATAAAATAAAATTTTATTAAAAATAAAAGCAATTGTTGAAACAAATGTTAAAAATGAACAAAAAAATTTAAATAGTTCCAATGAAAGATAATTTATTAAATGTATAAAACATAGCATTTTATATTCTGCTCTTTAGTCAGAACCTCTTAATAATGTCCCCAAGTAGTCAAAAATATATTGGTAGTTGAATGTGCAAAATCTGCTATTCACTAAAAATGGGTCTGATTTCTCTTATATTCCATGTAGTTAACTGCTATTAAAGCATTCCACTATTTTTTCCCATATGCCAAAATTGAAGGAATCTTTTCTTTAATCAATAATCAAATGAGGAATATAAATTTTTAGGGAAAAACTAAATATATTATGAAAAATATGAAATGAAAATAATATTATTTGTGAGTTAACTGGATTTATTCACTATTTTTTAACAAATATTTTACATCCAGACTCTATAGTTTTCCCCATGCTTTTAAGACCTTCATAAATACATATTTAAACAAAAACCTCCTATTATAGATTTGAATCAGATATGAGGCCAACCTGATTGTGTCTCAATAACTCTGTGATGGTATCCACCCCATTGCAATTGACTATTTAGAAGATTATATCTTAACTTATTAGATATACATATTAATTAGGATTCGCTGTTAAGGGAAAAGTCAAAATAGCATGTCATTCATATTATATTCAGAATCTTATTCCTAATATGGATATTGTCAAATATTTTGAAAATAAAGAATTGGGAAAATTATATTTAGAAAATTATTAGCAATATAGAATTATATATTTGGTTTATGATTTATTTAATTTAATGTTGAGAATTTACATTTTTGTAATAACAGTGCCGTGACGACGCAAAGAAATTTGGGAAAATTGTGGCGCAATATAAATGTAATTATATACGATCATAGAATATTAGTAATTGAATAAAAAAAATTAAAACAAAGGTAAAACAAAATTATATTTGTATTTAAAAAATCATAAATAAGAAAGTAGAGAAAAATTGGAATAGATAGAAGGGAAAAAGAGAAGAGAGGATAAAAGCGAAATTTAAATGCAATATGTTTTAAAAAAGATTTGATACATTTTAATTTAAATAAAAATTTAATAGAATTAAATTTTATGAAATAAAAATTAGATATTTAGTAATTGATTTTATATTATAAATTTTTATGAATAGAAATAATAGAAAATGAAAACTTTTATATTGATTAAAATGGTTAAGATGTTTTAATATTTAGAAATTAAATTAGATATACAAGTGATTTATATATAGTTGAAAGAATTATGAAAGTAAAGTTAATGTTGAATTTAAAAGAAAACTTGATTCCAATTAAAAAGAAAGAGAGGTGTGAGTATATTTTAAAAAAATCCATAAGTTATTTAAAATTAATGGTTAAATATATAACAAATAAAAGATAAGATAGAAAGCAGAGTATGGGTTTATAAGGTTTTCAATTGTCTTAATTGATTGAATTAAAAATAAATGATAACCTGGGTTTAAAGGAATTTTTTTTATGATGTTTAAATTTTTTTTGATTGGATATGGTATATATATTGGTGTATTTTGTAATGATTTTTGTACCATTGGATTGGTATGGGTAAAATATTTAGATTTTAGTTTTTAAACCCATTGTTTTGACAGTAGGTTTTATTTTGTTAACCTTACTTTAAGACTCATTTTTTTTTCTCTTTAGCTTTCACCTTTTCTGATGGTAAGCTCCTTCAACATCTCTCTCCACTTTATGTTATTCATACAATCTCAAAATAGATAAAAGAGATTGTATGAATAACATAAAGTGGAGAGAGATGTTGAAGGAGCTTACCACCAGAAAAGGTGAAAGCTAAAGAGAAAAAAAAAAACTTTAAGACTCATTGAATGGCGTTATACGTATTCCCTAATAGGAAAATGAGACCTCAAGATATTCAAAACAGAAAAATTGCTTAATATTTAAATAAATAAATATACTATAAAAAAAAAGGAATGTAATAGTATTAATATTTTTATAAAAAAATGGTGGAATGAAAGTTGTGGATATGAAACATTTTGCTAATGTTTTTTTTAAATAAAGGAGGAAAAGAAAATTATAGATATGAAATATGTAAATAATGTTTAAAAAAAGAAAATGATAAATGAAATAATAGAGAGAAATTAGGTGATGAAGTAAAAATATTAAATGAAATAAAAGAGAGAAATTAAGTGATGAAGTAAAAATATGTATTTCCAAAGATGGATTGATAATCAGGAGTGCGTCATAAATAGTTCAAGTTCTTAAATAGAAAAATTATGTGTTATGGTAAATTGATAAAAATATTTTTGATTTTTTATATATAAATGTGGATTTATATATATGTAAAGGATAATAATGGAGGGAGCCATTATATAATATTAGAATATTTTTATGTTTAAAATGTTGATTAAAGGTTTATATATACATGCATAATATATATATTCTTGATTTTATGAATATAAATGTGAATTTATAATAATGGAGAGAGCCATTAAATAATATTAGAATATTTATCTCTGTTAAATTTTAAAAGTTATGAAGAAAATTGGTTATTTGAGATCCAGGGAAAGGGGGAAAGTAGTGTAGTTCAACATATAACAATTTTGTTAAAGGGATCAGAAATTTTGTGTTTTTGATAAGGGAGAAGTGTATATGGAATAATGTTAAAAGGAAAAAATAAAGAATACATTTTGAATGTAATTTTAAAAAAAATTTGACTGACTTACTCTGTGTAATATTCTGTGTAATCAACTCAATTAAATACAATGATGATGGATAAAGGATACCAAGCTTAATGATCATGACTGACCAATGCAATATATAAATAAAGCTAGGACTCATTAACCATTAAGATTTAATGATAATCAACAGTGCAATGACAACTATTTTGTATGGTCAAGAAAAAATATTCAACTTTCTGGAACATAAAAATAAAATTTAATGAAAATAAATAATAATAACTTTTATATTTTTTTGACGATTTATTAGAATTATATAGATGTTTACTTTATTATATATATATATGCATAAATTGTATTTCTTTACTCAGTTTGATTGTCAAGAAAGGGGGGCGTGTTGTATCTGTTGATATGAAATGACATTTATAGACGTTCTTCAATGATTATCGAATAAGAGATATATAACAATTATTTTTTCTTTGTTATAAATCATATGATTGATAACTTTTTTTCGTCTGCGGGAAAATGGCTGATGTTAAATCGCACCTCCAAGAAATAATGATATCTATCAATTCTACAAATACTTCTATCACTCACAATTTCATTTTCAAGCACACTATATTCCTTAAATATTTACTTTGCGACTACATACATTTTTTATAACATGAAAAGCCTGAC